TGAAAATATGATTTTCTAAATAGGGAATGTGATTCCCAATTGAAGGGAGAGAATTTTTTTTTGAAATTCGCCCCCTTATTCCGCAATATTTGGGCATCCATACGATAGATCTCTCATCCCTTCATTATGTATAATGAATACATATAATTATAAAATATCAAAATTATTAATTATAAAATTGATATAATGAATAAATACATACATAGACACACACACATATATATACTAGTAAATGTGGATGTGCGCTGCACATTACAATTTTAAATTACAATGACAATTATTATCATCACCATTACTATTATTATTATTATTGGTATTATTATTATTATTATTTAATTTCGTATTCCATTTCTATCATAAATAAATATAATTTTTATTTTAACAATTTTTTATTTAATATGATGAATATAAAACATTAGAAATGTCCCCAAATGCTTTTGAAAAAATTGTATACTTTTCATTTTTTGTGTTCTAACTTTTTTAAATATCTATGATTCATCATTAATAAAAATATTTCATACATTTCATACTTAATTTTATTTAGTATAATGTATATATAATATTAGAGATACACTCAATTTCTTTTTTTTGTATTTTTATATTATTTATTTTGATTTTTTATTATTTGATTATGGAATTATTGGTTAATCCATTTGACCCAAATGGTTGAATTGCTTACCTACCACTAGGAGGGAAGAAAATGGTTTTGTTTTCAAATTACTTTTCAAAACATTTATTTTTATATTATTAAAATCAGTGTTGTGGATTTAATTAATAGAATTTAATGATGAGAAAAATATATCTTAAATATAAGATTTAAGGAGAGAATATACCTTAGATATGAGACTTAATGAGAGAGAAGAGGAAAATAATTTTATTTCCAATTGGTTTTGATTTTATATTCCATTTCCATCATTAATTAAAGTATTTCTTATTTATCATACTTATTCTTGTCTAATGTGATGAATATATGGTATTAAAGATGTTCCCAAAATTTCCTTTAATTTCTATGTTTTTTGCATTCTATCAAGTTTTAATTTTTATTATTTAATTGTGGCAACAATGCAACATGGGTTGGCTTATTTGACCCAAGATTGTTTAATTTCTTATCACCACATAAAAATATTGATTTTCCAAGTCAATTTCAAAAGTATAAATTTTTATGTCATTATAATTATTTATGTATGGATTAATTAGTGGAATTTAGTAATTAAAAGAAACAAAAATGACTTAAATGTATGGTTAAATGAGAGTGAACATACCTTAAATGAAATTTAATGAGAGAGAATTGAATGCAATGAATACTAATATTCAAATTACATTTTCTGAGGCTAGATCTCCTGCCCACAGCTTCCTACCCACATCCCTACCCACGCCATAAATTTTGGACACATGTCCACTAGCATGTGCCTCTTCTTCACATGTGCACAATTGCATGTGAATTCAATGGGATGTAATTATGTTATAGGACGGACGTCCATCCCGTCAGAATTCACCCATTAACCTAATTAATTATTTAACCTAAAAATTATTAATATTTCCCCTTCCCAAGAACTCTAATAGTCTCTTGTTCTCTTCATTCCATTCTCCACAGCATATTGTTGCAAGAAACTTCACTGGTATCCGGCAATCAGCGATGTGCTCACCAACATCTTATTCTCTCCGTACTCCATTTGTTCTTCTCAACCAATACAAGAAAAAATTGAGCATTATTTTCTTATAGTTCTTCCAACTAGATTCTTCTCACTGGTAGTTATATATGTTCTGTTTTATTTGATTCACTTATTTTTTGTTTTCTTCTGGTCGAGCACAATAAACTCATTGGTTTTCGGTTGCCGGCTACTAGTTACCGATTGTAGATGCCGATCAAATTTCTTGGAAATAGGACGTTGTGGAGAATAGAAGAAGGTTAACTGATGGAGTACAAAGAGAATAAGATGCTAGTGAACACATCACAGATTGTCGATTGCAGGATGCTGGTGAAGTTTCCTGGAACAATAAGCTGTGGATAATGGAATGGAGAGAACGAGACTATTTAGGGTTCTTGGGAAGGGGAAAGATTAATTATTTTTAGGTAAAAAAATTAATTGTGTTAATGGGTGAGTCCCGACGGGATTCACATGTAATTGTGCACATGTGAAGAAGAGAAACATGCTAGTGGACATGTGTTCAAAATTTATGGCGTGGGCAAGGACGTGGGTAGGAGATTCGACCTCACATTTTCTGCCCTCATAATAGATAGGGACCCTATTTAAAAAAAAGGGTATTTTAGTACAAAAATATTCCAAAAATCTTAGACCCTATTCATACTTTTTGTAGTAGTTTATATTATAATTATATTATATATAAGTTTTTATTAGACGTGGATTTTAATTAAATGCAAGTTCCAACATCCACATATGGGATTATTGGATTCAAAGTCTAATCAAGTATCAAACTTTTGGAGTCTAATGGCAACTTTAGCGAACAAGGCCCAAGTTAAGCAACCCCAAGCTCAACTTGGAAGTTAAATGGATATATGGCAAGCTTTGTATTAATGTATAGATAGAAATGTTATATACTTTTTTATAATAAACTAAAATTAAATAAAGAATTTAAGAAGTAAAAGAAGTCATAGTTTTATAATTAACATGTGCAAGCTTAAAAACTAGGCCCAAACAAATATTATTATGCTGAGGTATAGGGCATGCAACCTTAAAAACTACTAATACATTATTAAAATTTGACATAATATCTTTTATTTATTTATTTTGATTTATTGTGCTATACAATGGGGGAGTCTATCCCCTATAGCTCCTTTGGCTTCAATATTATCTAAAAATAGTTAAAAATAAATAAAAAAAATAATGCATGCATGGGTTGCACTTGGGCTGATCCAGTCTAAATACAAATGCCACAAATTGCTCTTAGGGGTGCAACTTGGGAGGGTTGCGTCATGATGAGGATCAACCCAAGCCTAATCCAAAGTCTTAAACCTCAAGCTTGGTCTTAGATTAATTTAATTATGACTAAAAAATTTACTCCACAGATTAATTTAATTATGACTATAGCCTAATTTTATATATTTTCTGATGTTTAAGTGTTTTAAATATTTAGATAATATTTATAAAAATTGTAGCATTTAATCATTAACAAAGTAAAGTAAATAAAATGGATCACTAACACACAATATGGAATAAATAATCATTTTATTAAGTAATTAGCAATACTTTATTATTTTGTTAAAAAATATTAATATAATTAATAAAAAATTAGTAAATTATTTTCCTAACAAAATGTTAAAATAAAGATTAATTATTTTAAACAACATTGCATTATTTTTTTAATTATAAGTTTTGATTATACCTGCTAGTTTTTTTTTTTTTTTTAAGATGATTGTCCTTTTTTTTCTCTCTTCCTTCATTGTTTTCCAAGTAAAAAGTATACGGAACAAAGGTATATATATATATATATATATATATATATATATATATATATATATATANTATATATATATATATATATATATATATATATATATATATATATATATATTAAACTACATTGGAGATTTTTGTTACAATTAGAAGATAGAGGGGTTTTTATGAGTTTAAGCCACGGGTAAGAACGTTGGTGATTGGTGAACCCATCAAGGGTCCTGAGTTGGAGCAAAGTTTAGCTGAACTTTTTAGCTCTTCAGCAGGCTGTGGAACTAATGATGAGGTGAAGCTGTTAAGGGTCCTAAGTTGGGGCTAGAGGTGTCAATTGGACGGATTTGGTCCAACCTGAACCAGTCCAATGTGAATCCACTTATAAATGGAATGAACCCAATCCAATCCAAATACAATACAAACCAAATCCAATCAATTAAAATGTAAATGGATTGGATTGGATTCAATCCAAACTGAATGAAGTATCAAAAATTATATAAAATCACTTTTAGCATTGAAAAGACACTTTTGTGAAAGTACTTTAATACAAATATTTTCATAAAAAGTACTTTTACAAAAACACTTTATTGTAAGTACTCAGAAAAGTAGTTTCATAGACTATAAAAGTGTGTTCGTAAAAGTACTTTCACAAAAGCACTTTTGTAAAAGTGTGTTCGTAAAAATTCTTTCACAAAAGTGATTTTCTACAAGTGCTTTCGTAAAAGTGATTTTATAAAAGTACTTTTATAAAAGTGTTTTCGTAAAAGTTTTTTTCTAAAAGTGATTTCATAAAAGTGCTTTAATGTAAAAGTACTTTTGTAAATGTGCTTTCATAAAAGGACTTTTGTAAAAGTGCTTTTATAAAACTACTTCTGTAAAAGTGCTTTCATAAAAATACTTTCGTAAAAGTATTTTTATAAAAGTGCTTTCGTAAAAATACTTTTCATAAAATTATTTTTATAAAACTTTTTCGTAACAGTGCTTTTGTAAAAGTACTTTCATAAAAGTGATTTTATGTTATTTTTAGTTTTGATTGATTTCAAATTGGACAAGGTTTGGCCTCCATTGGATTATTGAAAATTTGGTTTAGGTATAATTCAAACTAATAAAAATACAGACCAATTTATTTTGGATTGGCCCAATTCAATAATTATAATGAACTGTCCAAATCCTATTTGATAAGGTTTGGATGGGATTGGATCCAAACCAAAACCAATCGATTGACACCCTAATTGGAATCCATAAATTTATTACTGCATTGAATCTCGTCATTAGTTCTACTACCCGCTCAACAACTAAAGCGTTCAGCTAATCCAACTTCCCTGAATTGGGCTTCAGGCCTTTTTCGGCTTTCAGATTATGCCGTTAGTTTCACACGATCGTGGTTTCTACTCGTGTTAAAGGACTGGTGACGCAGCCTTGTTCCGTTGGAATGGACCAGATCAGGAACATCCACCGTGCATTGGGAATATCTTCCGTGATCAATAGGAGATGCTTCCAATGGATGGTAGGATGTGCGTGTGAGGTCGGTGTTAGGCGCCCTGTAGGAGGAGCAGATCCGGTCTCCCTTCCGAGCTCGATTCTTTAACTTTCCTCGGAAGGGTTTCTCTCAGTCGAGAGATCCCGCGCTCTCTGTTAAAACAAAACACTAGCTTTCCGGCTCTATCTCTTTCTCTCGGACGCAGAAACCCTAAAAAGAAAACAAATTTAGGGTTTCTTCTGCGCATATCAGGAGCTGTAATCATGTATGGAGGAGGTGAGTAGATAGATAGTGCGGTTCACATTTAAATATCGTCTTCTTTGTATTCATTCAGCTTTTGTCGGGGGAGTTTTTCTATGTTATTAATATTCTTTTTTTTTTGTTTAGTTTTGTGTGATTTCTGCTTATTTTTAATGTTGGTTGAGTAGATGAAGTATCGGCAATAGTCATTGACCTGGGTTCGCATACCTGTAAGGCTGGTTATGCCGGTGAAGATGCTCCCAAGGCAGTGTTCCCTTCTGTAAGTATGATTTACCTCATGGCATTGCTTCATAACAGTGAGATTTGGTTAAATTTCACAGTTTATGTTGAGTTTGGGGGATTAGAAGTCTCTTGCTACTAAATAATAGGTCTATAATCTTCACAAGCTGTGAATTTTTTCTGGTGTCTCTGGATATGGAAAATTTGGTAGCTGGTAATGCGTGTGAGTATTAATACCAGTCTTTGGTACTTAATATTATGGTTCCATAATGGGCCTGGTCATTTTTTATATAAAAGCTAGTATATAGAGGATGGGATTGCTGTAAACTATACATTGACCTAATCCTTTTCCCAACGTTTTGGACTTGACTCTGCCTTGTCTGAACTCCAACTACACTATCTGCAAAAAGTTAATATTATTGAATTGAGGTATGTTTATCAAGTTTCTAGTATTTTTCCATTTATGAGAAATTGAGCTAGCACAATTCTTATTAATTTGAAGTACTTCAAACTGGAAATGTGGTATGCAAGATAGGAATGTTTTAAAGGTAAGGATTGAGGAGAGCATGAGAGAGGAAGAACAATTAATTTGAAGTACTTTGAATAGTTTGACCATCTGGGTCAAGGGTGGGTTGGGTTGAAAACATTGATTTACTGTAGTAGTAGATGACCTTGAGAAGTGAGCTGCAGGTATAGAGAAGAACAGTCTTGTATGGTGGAGAGAAAAACTCAGTCCCACTTAGCAGGTAGCATATACATCCTTCTAAAAGTAGTGAATATTTATAGTCTGCCCCTACTTAAGTTATAAAATAGGTTGCTGTACATGTCCTAGTCTATACATGTATAGTCTCACTTTACATGACCTACACTGTATATACCTACAGTAGCTATAATCAGTACAATATTTTTAACTTCTTTTGAAAAAGTTATAAAATAGGTCATAAAGGAGTATGACCAACTTGGCAACGAGAGAAGGTGATAAGGACCATGTACTTTTCTTTAGACAAGTTATCGTGAAGGATGTATTCTTAATATCGAGCTGTGATAAGGACCAACTTAGTTCGGTATCAAGTTATCCTTGTGTTCGGGAGGATTACGCCTCTTGCGTTCTGAATTATGCCTCACGCCTCTAGGTAGTGGAACGCCTTGCGTCACACCTCCACGTTTTAAAACATCGTGCTGGACATATATTTGATTGTGCATACTTACTTGCATTCAACAATGCACTTCCCAAAGGAAGTGATATAAGATCCTATGTAATTATGATTATGTGAAAGAGCATGGGTTTCCTCTTCCATAGCCCATTTCCGACTAGGGGAGACAAGTCTTGAGTAGAATGGGGATTAGGAATAGAAATAGAAAAGGCACAAACGGGTGATGAGAAGATGAATGGTGATCTAAGGAAACAAAATGGGATATGGGATGAGCAAGTCAATAATACTTACCTTTGTGGAGAGAAATTGGATGATGCAAATCTAAAGGAAGCAAGGAATTTGTCATTAGAGAGGATAAGGAGTATTTAGTAGTCCCTATGGCGTTTGTAAACTCCTTCAATAGGTGGTGGCTTAGCAAGTAAAAGATTAGTCACCTAAAACAACATTATAAATTTAGAGTCAATCGGAAGAGGCAATACCATAATGGTACTTGAAGAAAACTTGAAGACTCATGAAGAGGGGGGCCTTAGACATGTTGGATGGGTTAGAATCCAGAATATGGATGGCCAAACCAGGTTTAATGGCTGGTCGAATTTCAAAATTTTCTAACCTAACCCAGGAACTGGTTTCCTGGAGATTTTGAAATCTAAAGTTTCTAGGTCGATCTTGCGTTGAATTGGACCAGATTTGAAACTGAAATTAAAACTAATTGTACTTGATATGAAGTCCACAAATCACAGCTCCCAGAGTGGTAGTTTGCGCCCAAAATTAGTCCTAAAAACCAGCCTCCAACTGAATATGGCGCAGTGAATGAGAAGCCGATTCAGCAACACTATTTTTTGCAAAACTGCTATCCAACTAATTTGGATTGTCTTGATTTGTGAGCCTGATTTTTCCAATGTTTTTCTTGCAAAAACACAGTGGGAAAACTGATAAAAATCAGTTCTTTCAATGGCTAGGTTGTGATAGGGTTTCTGGGAGAGAAGAAAGAAGAGGAGAGAGCAAGAGAGTGAAAAGAACAAGTTCTATTCGCCCTCTCCCTCTCCCTCTTAATCTCCTTTTATGGAGCACTCTCCTAATCTAGTTAGGAGATTATCCAAATCTGATTTGGATCTGAACTCTTAAAGAGAAGCATTATCCTCTTAAGAGGATTGGTGCTCCATACCCAGAACCATGCTCAATTTTGACCCAAATCACATGACGATTTAACTAATTTCATGTGATAGCTTAACTAAGTTGTCATGTGACAGCTTAATTGATCTCATTAGTAATGGGCCTTTGGCCCATTTTCTTTAATGGCTCATGTCCCTAGGTGTTGCATGACCACTTTGGGTTTGATATTGTATGGTTTGGGACCTTACAAAGGTCTCATGCAAGTCCATGAGGGTTTGACCTCCACCTCTAAAAGAGGTTAGGCCAAATTCACTGCTTAGGGTAGTGAACCCTTGAGCCAATCAGCATGGGCTCAGTCTAAGCCCAACATTTACACCTAAATGATCATTGGATTCAGCCCCCCTATGAAGATCCAAGGGTAATGGACTTACGTGAGATAAAGCCTATCAGGTAATCAGCCTTGTAATGGTCTTTTAAGCATAGCCTCTTAGCCCATAATCATCAGAACATTGCCCATAGGGAATGACCTCTCCCCTGATTGCAAGATACAGTGTTACACTCTTTGCTCGGATGGATCCTGAGATTAAAACTTTTTGCAAACCTTTTTCATAAAATAGTAGTATAATAATATATAAATATATTTTGCAAAACTAGACTTTAAACACAGATGAAATCCACTCCCGACAGTTTAGGTTTCCATCAGAGAGAGTGCAATGCTTGATATTCACTTTGTCTGACAAAGGGCTCGATCCTATCATTATGATCACATCACCCACTCAAGTAATTTCCCAAATTGCCCCAACATGCCCAGATATTTTGACCCATGATGGATCTCACTAGTTGGTACATCAAAAGGCAACCCAATCCACTATTTAATGCAATATCATAATTAAGTCTGGGGTTATGTGTAACTTTCCAATTTTGCCCATCTATTTCCAAGGTCTAGGGCATAACTAGAAATTGGTCAGTGTTTAGCGTTTCTTCCAAACACCCACTACCTGTGCTTGGGGTCTAACCCTACCAGTTGTGACAAACTGCCCCAACTATTTGGCAGCACACCAGTGTTAGCCTTGTCAAGATAAACTCTCTAAGTTTATCCACTGGTTGAGAACATTTTAAACTAACACGAGTCTCATAAGTGTCCAGTTTAAGGGGTAATTCACTAAAAACATACCATCATTAACATGAAACAATAATGTACTTTATTCATTTATGGATAAATGCTTATGTACATCAATTAGATTGGAGCTAAGGGCATACATTGTCTAACAAAACAAGCAGCTCCATTATCACCTTCTTTTTCACTTTAGTAGTGATCATCCTTACTTGTCTTATAGCTAGATTAGATAGTTGAGGTTACATTATAGAGTTGAGAGTGGGTAGTGGAGTGATCATCTCATATTTGTTGTTTGTTGATGATGTTATTGTTGCTGTTGAGATCTGCAAAAGGAGAGAGATAGGGAATCAAATGAGTTGAGGTGAGTAGAAACGAACTGAATTGCGGCTGAGTGGACCTGCAACAACGATCAATGTTAGAGTTCTCGACCTGAGGTGTATCCTAGGGGAGAATCCTCATAAGAAGGCCAAGTTGAGTTGAGAGGTTGGGTTGATGAGGTGAGTGAAAGTGAGCACTGTGCGAGGTGAGAACGTGAGAACAAAAATAGATCAAGAGAGCATGCCTCTTATCTATTGGGTGCCCCACTATTTATAGAGGAAGGGGGAGAGTTGTTCTTTGCATAGAGTTCTAGTTCCCTTAGGAGACGACTCTCTCGACCAACTAGAGGGTTGGGCAAGATTTGTAATAGGAGAAAGATTGGGAGTCGACCTGTGTGGTGGGGGTCAATTCTGTTTTGTGAGGGGGAGGATGTGAGATGGGAAAAAAACTTGAAGTTGGTGATTCAAGTGTTTGAACAAATGTCAAATAGGAAGGTGGACTTTGATAAGAGCTATGTGGTGGGGGTCAATATGGAAGGGAGAGCTACATTGGAGAGGGATGAAGCTTAGGGTTGTATGGTGTTTCAATGGCCGTTGAACTATTTGGGAATGCCCTTAGGGGATAACCCAAGGAAAGAGAGATTTTGAAGCCCTGTAATTGATAGGTTTACTAAGAAGTTGGCCTCTTGGAAGAAGAATTATCTATCTCTGGGTGGTAGAATTACCTTGATTAAGTATTTACTAGCTATTTTGCCTGTGTATTGCTTACAATTTTTAGGATCCCAGTGAAGCTAAGTAGGAGTTTGGAGAAGTTGATGAGAGACTTCTTGTGAGAACCGGGGGAAGAGAGGAAGGATCATAGGGTGAATTGGGAACTGGTCTCTAGGAGTAGGGATGACAGAGGGTTAGGTTTAGGTAACATTCGGAGGAAAAATGAAGCCTTGTTGGTGAAATGGATGTGGAAGTTGGGAGGTGAGAGGGATAAACTGTAGGTGAGGGTAATTCTAAGTATTCATGGTCTTCCTTCCTTTTTGCAGCACATCAGGTATGATCTCTGCTCTAGGAATCGGGTAAAGTTTTGGGAGCACATTTGGGTGGATGAGATACCCTTGAAAGACCAATTCTCTTCCTTGTTTTCACTCTCCCGATATAAGGGCAAGGTTGTGTCTAGTTTTCTAGTTCCTTCTTAGTCTAATTTTGGGTTTGATTGGGATTTGGGGCTTAGAAGAGGCTTAAGGGATGTAGAGGTTGAGAATATCACGAGTCTGGTTAAGATCTTAGACCGGGCGGTTTTGGATCCCTCTAAGAGGGATAAGAGGCTGTGGACCCGAACTCCCTC